TCACCCGCAAACAAATCTATCAGAGCGAGTGAATAATACACTCAAAACCATGATAAGAGCTTACGCTCAAAGTGATCAACGTGCCTGGGATGTAAAACTTCCTCAATTGGCTTTCGCTCTAAGGACGACGATAAACGATAGCACTGGAGAATCTCCTGCCTTCTTGATGTGCGGTCATGAACCTCATTTACCGATAGATGTACTATTTGGTTCAATAAATCCATCTGACGATCATCCAGCCAATGATCGAGATGTTCGGGTCTATCGTGATCGACTTACAGCTAACCTTTTACCAGCATTTAATTTTGTGACCTTATTACTCTCCATTTCAAATTCCTTCTTTATAAGTCGAGATTAAGAAGTAAAACACAAAAAAAATAAAACAACAAGAAAAAAAAAATTGTGTTCATTATACCCGATAGATTACAAGTTAGCAGAATAGATGAAACGAATTATATTTTGATAAGAAAAGATGAAGAGTGTGTTCAGTTTTATGTAAGAAGTGACAGCAGAAAGACCTTATATGAATGTGTCACTTATCAATACTTCGCGTCGTTCATCCATTTTACTCTTTTATCGATATTGATCACGTGCTTTCTTTTTCGTTTATTCCTCTCTCTTTTTCAAAGCCAAAATAAAAACATCAAATACTGTCAATTGTATAGCTAGTTTTATGTCTCCGAGTTGATAATTTCTAGTTTTATGTAACGCGAACAAAACCTTTTCTATAGTGTGAACGTTCGCAGTTTTTGGGAACTAGTTTGATTCGAGGTCGAATCTTCTCTCTCTAGGTAGGGAGGAGATGTAACGGTCACGGAGGCCCCGCTACAGGAAAACTGCGGAAAATACATGGAAATCTTAATCCGTCTGTAAGGATCGATGAGCTTGTAACTATATGAATACTAGAAACAACTTGTAATACAGTCCGGAACCTTTTTGTGTACGCGTCAGAGTTGGAACCGGGCCGGCAGACCGGCCGGCCCGGGCGGGTGCCGGTCCGGTCCGGTGTAAAAGTTTAGACCGGCCGGTCTCCACCGATCTTTTGCCGGTCTAGAAATATTTTCAAACCGGCCGGTGATCGACCGGTTTTAAATTCTTAGCATTTTTCTCTTCTTCGTTCAAGAAAACTGACATGTTCTTCAGACATTAAATTTAAGACAAATGACTTAACATACAATAACCTATAATTAAAATAAGAACAAACCAGACTATTTTCTTCTTCTTTTGTTTCTTAGTCATTCATTGATAGTGATACGGAAAAGGATTAAATCCCTCTCTAGCAATAGCTATTACCGTCATGTTTTCCGTATCACTATCAAAGACTAAGACTGAGAAAGATGACTAAGAAAGAACGTTCTGGTTTGATTCTCAGTTTGTTTGGTACTATTTAATCTGTTGCAGATATTGTTGTAAACTGGATTTAGGAAAATGCAGAAAAGTGATAACTTCAAATAAACAAGTAACAGAAATATGAAAAAGCTAGTGAAAATGACTTTTTCATTAAAAATATTTTGATTTACTGATAAAAGCGTCTAAACCGCCCAGTTTTTTGCCGGTTTTTCACTGTTCTCGAAATTTGTTGAAAACCGGCCGGTCTTTTTGCCGTTTTTCACCGGTCTAAAAAGATTTTTGGGCCGGCCGGTCACCGGTCCGGTCTGCTGTTTTGAACCGGCCGGCCCGGCCCGGCCTCTTATTTTTAGACCGGTTCCAACTCTGGTACGCGTTCCATGGAAATGAGAGTGTGGTTGTTGCTATACTCCGAATGGCTGTACTCCCTGTATAGAAAACATCCATCACTCTCATCCTTTCCATATTTCAACTTTCGTACTTTAAGCGCATAAATCATTTAGGAAAAGATTCGGATCGAAATTATTAACCGTTCTTGTTTTCCGGTACGAAAACAATAATTGTTATAATTTAATTTCCATTATTGATAATTGTTTCTTTAGTTACAAAAAGTTAACTTGTAACCAACTTTTATTTTCGATCATTATGTACATTTTTTGTGGTCTAGTTCAGACCTAATTATTATTTAGTTTTCTTTCTTTAACTTTTTCAACTTGTCAAATTCTTGAGAAAAATAAAATATTAAAAATTCTAAATTCAAACTTGACTGAGCGAAGTTGTACAGCGTTTGAATACGTACAGCGTTTACAAATTGGTGCCGTGACCCGGGAAGATTTATAAATAATTAATCCGCTCTTCTCACTCTCAAGAGCTCTGATAAATTTTTGGTGATCAATATCTACGAATAACACACACAACACATATCAGCATACAACAACACCTCACTTTCACCCATATCCGTTAATTGTTGCTTGTAATATATTGTACAATATTAAAAAAAAAAAAGAAAAGAACAATAGGAATTTTACAGCAAGTATATAAATAATTCTGTTAAGACAAGACGTTCCTTCGCTGTTGCCCTCGTTGGAGAAGAAATCGTCCAGAATCTCAAAGTACGATGTCCGAGTCCGCAAAATCTAAAGCTGCTGCTAAGACTCTTGAAGATGAAGAAGAAGTTCAAAAAGTATTAAATAGTTTTTCTCAGCAACAACTGCTTTCTATCCGCAGTAAATCAGAGCAAAACCGCTGTGAAGCCTGGTCTAACTCAGATATATCCACATCCGCACCTGCGGCATTCACTGCTTCAACAGTTGCCACCGTCGTTCCTGCTGTCGTAGCATCTGTATCACAGCTTCCTAGTCATCTGCAAGCTCTGACATTGATCACTCAACAATTAATCGCGTCAGGAGCTGGTATGGCACTTTCTGCTTCAACTTCGTCATCCAGAGCTGCCCTAGAACAACATCAGGAATATTGTCCTACGATGGTGGATTCACAACATGTATCATTTCAACAACATCCATTATCAACAAATTCACATAGAAAAACAATAGATGATCCATTACCACCATCGGAACCACGGCTCAGACCCGTGCCAATGACATCACATACAACTTTGTTGATAGAACAAGTTCGTCAATTGCAACATGAACTTAAACAAGAAAAATCAAAAGTTGGTCGCCTTCAGGAGGAGGATGCAACTGTAAGGCATTCCAGTTCGTCTACATCAAATAAACACTCATGCACTCAAACAATTGATGAATGTTCCTCTGGAATTTGGGATGAAATAAATCTTAATCAAAAAGCTGCCATCAGGAAGTCAAAGAAATCGAGAAAATCATTAAAGAAACTTGATCGACGTCCATCACCATCCATATCAACTGGTGATGAAGAGATGACACCAAAACATCATTCACAAAAATCAACAAAAATTTTACAACCATCAACAACACCTATGTTGAATCTAACGATGTCCATACCCGATAATATTACAAAATTCGGAGGAACAACAAAAGAGGCTCCAGGCAGATTCATTATAGAATATCAACAAAAAGCCAGAACTGCCTATGGATGGTCAGATCAAGCAACACTCAACGGAATTAGTCATTAGCTAACAGGTGCTGCTGCTGAATGGTATCAACAATTAGTGCAAAGTGATGAACTTCCAGCCACCTGGGGTGAGTTTGTAAAACTATTTCAAGCTCGGTTTCAATCACCCGAACGAATAGAAGCTCTGAAAATCGAAAGAAATCGTTGCATGCAGCAGTCAGATGAATCCGTAGCAGATTTCTATCAGAGGTATAAGGGACTAGCATTAGAAATTGATCCTAAAATCTCAGAAAAAACGCTCAAAAGGCACCTTCTTCCGAAGCTACGTCTGGATATCCTTCAATTAATGGGCGTAGTTGATGCTGATAAATTAGCGTTGCCAGATCTGATGAGAACAGCAGCTAAAGCTGAATCACACATGCTTCAACGAAAGAAAGGAGCTCAACAGAGAACTGGCGAATTAGCAGAATCCTCCATGGCAATGATGCAGTAGAAGCGTTGTGGAAATTAAGCGTAGCAGGTCGTAATGGAGAGGTTTCACAAATGAATAAGCAGCAAATTCTATCTGTATTCAACAACGTTCATAATTCAGATTCGAAATCAGTAAAAGACGAGAAGAATGATTCAACAACAATCATCGCAGATGACTCCAATGATGATACCATGTCGGAGGAGGATGCACTACAACAAGATGTCGAAGGAGATGATCATGATCCATTATGTCCTGAAAAACGAGCATCTAAAAATTCATCTAAGAAAGCTCGAACAAGGAGGAAACTGAGAAAACAGGGAATTCTAACGATTGACACTGGAGCAAGAATCACTATTATCAATTATAACTATTAGAAACTAATCGGCGAAAATTCTGATTCAATCGATCCTTATTTCGGAGCTGATGTAGTTGGACCTGAAGGTAGTTCAGTAGAACCAGTCGGATGGGTAGAAGCAGAAATCACGGTAACAGGACAAACTATTTATCACCCATCCATCCTAGCAAAAAAGTTCAGTCAGTTAGTTCTCCTCGGAACAGATTTCCTCCACAAAGCAGGGATTATCCTGGATATTCGAGGCGGAAGGTTATGGCGAAAATCTATGCCAACTGAAAAATATCTTCTATCCACGGAATTATATCAGGCTGGTCGTCTAGATGTCCCTGTTTATGCAGCTGAGAAAAGAATCATCCCTCCTTATCATGATACCTATCTCACTGTCAGAGTCCCATCAGATTTCGATCCAGATCAGTGGGAAGCTACCACCACCTCCTTTCCAAGCAGAATATCTACCGCAAATTGTTTAGTGGTCGTTAAAAATAATTCTACAGCTTTACAAATAGCAAACCTGACCTCACGAAGACAAGTCATCCATAAAGGGCAAAGATTGGCTTATCTAGAACCATTAGCAAGCCAATGGATCACACCTTCAACGGGAATTCTACAACCACAATCACAACACTGTGCAATCCTTAATCCCGTCGATGATCATATGGTGAATAGTGATTCCATCATACTAAATTCTGAAAATATTGATGAGTATCATGATAGCGAAAACTTCAAGAATGAAATTAAAAATAAAAATTATTGTCACAATATCAACAAAAATATTGTTCATGATAGTCATCTATTCAGCAAACTAAGTCACAACAACAATATGTATGATGACGGGAATAACGATCAACATGGCAACGGCAATACTGGAGATATTCCTCAACATCATTATAATAATACCATCAATTATTAACAAAATATTAATACGAATTCATTAATTAATGATGATTATTCGACGGAGCATCCGAACCCAACAAAACATCATGGACCAGTAGCATCTGATCCAACATTAGAACTGGAACCACTGATGCCAGTCATAAACAAAGAAGGATTAACTCATGTAGAGACACATATTGACACATATATTGACTCACACAATTTGATGGGAGAAGTTGAAGAGGAAGGTGAACAAGAAACCGAACATGAAAAAGAAGAAAAATACACGTATGATGTAGTTAAGGAAAATGAAGAATCTTATAATGTATCTGCTCCTTCTTCGTCTCAAGCGTCGGAAAGCGAGGAATTTTGAGAACAACTTTTGAGAGACTTAGATCTCCCCAGTGCTTCTTTAAGTGATGCCGAGGAAAAACGTTTGAGTGATTTAGTTCTCAAGTACGCCGGTCTATTCACTTCACAACCGGGACGTACTAACATCATTAAACATCACATTGATGTTGGTGACGCTAAACCAATTAAACAGCAACCTTATCGTGCTCTGCTTCCGCGCAGAAACTATATCACTCAAGAGCGGATACAAATGCAAGAGCAAAATATAATTGAACCCGCTACTGGACCTTGGGCAGCTCCAGTTACATTGCAGCGGAAGCGAGACGGAACAATGCGTTTTTGCATTGATTTTCGTCGACTGAACGCAGTCACTGTTCGAGATGCCTATCCCTTGCCACGGATAGATGATACTCTCGATGCTCTACACGATGCCCAATTCTTTAGCACATTAGATTTACGCTCAGGATTTTGGCAAGTAGAACTCGATGAAGAAAGTAAAGAGAAAACGGCTTTCGTGACTCACGAGGGATTATTTCAATTCATCGTGATGCCGTTTGGATTAACTAATGCACCAGCTACATTTCAACGTCTGATGGATTTGGTTTTATCGGGGCTGAAATGGCGTTGTTGCTTACTTTACCTAGATGACGTTATCATCTACTCTTCTACTTTCGATCAGCATTTGAAGGACATTGATGATGTCTTGGGTAGATTAAGTGAAAGTAATCTTACTTTAAAGGCAACTAAATGCCATTTTTGTCAGAAGGAGCTCCGCTACTTAGGACATATAGTCAGTGCCGATGGTATACGTCCAGATCCGGAAAAATTACGAACAGTACGTGATTTTCCGGTTCCGTTCAAAGTTAAAGACGTACGTTCATTTCTCGGATTAACCGGATATTATCGCCGGTTTATCAGGAGTTATGCTACCATCGCGGAGCCTCTTTTGAAATTAATTCGCGTTAAGCATTCACCAATTTTCGTTTGGACACCAGAGTGGCAGGATTCATTTGAAGAGTTAAAACAAAAACTCATAACTAGTCCCGTAATCTCGTATCCAGATTTTAATTATCCATTCATATTACAGCTGGATGCAAGTAATTACGGTCTAGGAGCCATATTAGCCCAGAAAGTTCTTCCCGAAGGAGATGAACACGTTATCGCTTATGCTAGCCGCACGTGAAGTGAAACAGAACGTAAATATTCCCCTACTGAGCGGGGATGTTTAGCAATTGTTTGGGGCACTCAACACTTTCGTCCATATTTGGAAGGAAGACGTTTGAAGTGTGGACTGATCATAAGTCTCTAGTATGGCTTCGTAATTTAAAGGATCCAACCAGCCGGTTAGCGCGCTGGGGCATGAAATTAGACGCTTACGACATGGTAATAAAACACCGTTCTGGTGCGGCTAATCAGAACGTTGATACTTTATCACGTTACCCTGTACAATCAGAAGTCGTAGCGTCGCTCCAAACAAAGACGCTGAATGACGCTCTCCAGTTATCTAATAATGCTAAAGATCGGCTGACGGGTATTAACGTTTGGGATAGCTGCAATGTACTTGATAATATAAAAGAAGCGCAAAGGAACGATAAGAATTTGCGACTTCTGATTGATTATCTGCATGATGGAATATTATCATCGAATGAGAATATTTCGAAGAAACTGCGTGGAATCGCAAAATATTATAAAGTAATTGATGGTAGACTTTATCGCCTACGACGTTTTGACGAAGAGCAATCAAACCGTTTCAATTATAGTTAAAATTTGTTAGTAATACCAAAATCAAAAATTATGGGTTTACTACATTTTGCTCACGATCACGCAGTTTCAGGGCACTTTTGCAGGCGGAAAACTCTACATCGTTTAACTTCTCGCGTTTATTGGCAGGGAATGCGAAAGGATGTAGAGAATTATATCCATGCATGTGATGCATGCCAGCGTTTTAAAGCTAATACTCAAAAGCTTGCTAGTAAGATGATCTCCAATGTGGTACACGAGCCGTGGTATACTATTGGTATAGATATCACTGGTCCGTTACCCTCAACAAAAACAGGCAATACCCACATTTTAGTGGTCGTCGACTACTTTACAAAATGGGTGGAATTATTTCCATTGCAAAACACGCGTTCTACTCATATTGCACAAATAGTTCTCGATGAAGTCATTTGTCGTTTTGGATGCCCAGTAAAGATCATCTCAGATAACGGTCCGCAATTTATTTCGGAAGTATTCGAAGAAACTCTTCGTATTCTCCAAATAAATCATCGCCGAACTGCCTT